GCGCGAACTGGAGGAAGCACGGAGCGAGATCGGCCGCCTCCGCCAGCAGCTCGTGGCGACTAGCGAGGCTGGCGCCGACCCGGAGGTGCGGCGGCGCGAGGCCATCGCGCGGCCGAGCTTGGCGGCCCGCGTTGCTGGGCTGCCCGAGGCGCCTGAGGACAAGCAGTGCCGCAACGTGGCGTGGCATGCCTCCGCCTGCCCTGAGGCGGGGGCTGCCCCCGCAGCCTGGAGGAGGGCCCAGCGCGGGCCCCGCCTGGGCACCGGAGTGCGCGCGGAGCCGGCGCAGGCGTGTGCAGTGCCCCAGGCTCTACGCGGATCGGCCCCTGCGTTTACACCGTGCGCGGCTACGCCCCTGGGAGCGCGGTGTAGCTGCGGGGCGGTCGCTTTCTTATCGTGCTGCTTGCCACCTCCTGCAGACGGCCTGGCGTCGCCCGACGCGTCGTTCGTGGAGGAAGGAGGATCCGAGGCGCCCGCGGGGGAGCTGTGGGCAGGCCCTGGGGAGGCCACCGCCTGCTCGTCCTCCCCGCTGGCGCCGCCCTGCTCAGACGCGACCCTGGCCTACCTGGAGGCGCACCCTGCCGCGGTGCTCAGCGGGCGCAGCGAGGCCGAGGACGGGAGCTGCCACGAAAAGGAAGCTGCGGTGGAGGTGGACCCTTTCGCGGGGGAGCTCACCAAGGCCGATAGCAGCATGCACGACCTCGCCTCGGAGGGCCACCAGCGCCCGAGCGCCGAGGCCGCGAGCTGCTCGGCGGACGCCTCCTCGTGCGTCCTGGACTCGGAGCTCCCGCACCAGGTGGAGGGCTTCGGCGTGTTCGTGGCGTCGGACTGCGTGGACCTCTCCAAGAGCGACATGTCCGTCTCTGGCTCGGACTCCCAGCAGTACCAGAATGCCACCGCCGAGGCGACCGCGGAGGACTTCTTCGCCAAGGCCAAGGGCCTGTTCGCCGACCTGCCCGTGCAGCTGGGGAATGAGGCGGACTCATGCGAGAAGCACGCGGCGTACTTCAACCAGGTGCTCGCGTACGTGGACCAGAAGAGGGCGGTCCGCGAGGCAGAGTTCGAGAAGCTCACCGCAACCATGGGCGAGATGTCGGCACGACCCACGCAGCTGAGGGAGGATATCGTGACGATAGAGTTCACCACGTTTGCCGCCGTGCAGGCCAAGGAGGTATCGCGCGCGGGAGCTGACCACGAGGCTGAGCTCCAGAAGCTCACCACGGCGTTTGGCAAGGCGTCGGCTTGCTCTGCGCAGCTGAAGGAGGAGATCGCGACGCTGAAGCTGACCGTGTTCGCCGCCAAGCAGGCCTACGAGGTCTCGCTCGCGATGACGGAGGACCAGGAGCTGGCGGGGTTCCTGTTATGGACGGGCCTGCCTGCGCGTGGGCTCCAGCTGATGCAGTCCGCTGCGCAGTCGCCCGCGCCGCCCGCGCAGCCCTTCGTCCGCCCTCGCGGGCTCCTCGACGCCAAGCGCCGCGAGGCGCTCGTACACGAGCTCGACCGCCTCGAGCTGGCTATCGTCGACGCTACGGATACTGCCGTCGCCGACGACCTCGAGGCTTGCGTCCAGCTCATCGAGAGGGAGATCGACGCGATCGACGGCGTGGACGTGTTCGGCATGCCGATCGATGGCTAGTGCTTCGTCGTCTCCGTCGATTTCGCGTGGAGGCACTCCGTTGCGGAGGTGGAGGTGCCCATGCTCAACATGTCGGGCCTCGTCGCCGGAGTCCGTCCGCGCTGCCGCCTTCGTCGCGCGCCTTCGGCCCCGCCTGGATTTTTTTTTTTTTTTTTTTTTTTTTTTTTTTTTTTTTTTTTTTTTTTTTTATATATATATATATATATATATATAATATATATAAAAATAAATTTTAAAAAAAAAACCTCGGCCCTCCCTCCTTCTCCTCCTCCTCCTCCTCCTCCTCCTCCTCCTCCTCCTTTCACTCCTCCTCCTCCTCCCCCCCTTCCCCTTCTCCTCCTGCTTCCCCCTCGTCGTCCTTCTCCTCCCCCCTCCTCTGATTTCTCCTTATGCTCCTCCGCCCTCTCCTTTCAGCATTCGCCTCCCTCCTTCCATCCTCCCCCTGGTCACGAGAGAGGACCAAGGAGACAAAGGCAGTCAATGGAACAGGGCGTGCATCGATTGTGAGCTGGATCTGAGACAGGAGGATCGGGACGATCGGAGTGATGAAGCAACGACGCTACACGGAGGAAACCAGTACATGTCGAGCGGCTAGGTCTACCGAGAACAAACGAGGAACGCAAACGGAACCGTGTGGACAGCCCAAGCCTTGGGCCACATCAAAGCCGCGCAATCGCTCCTGGCAGAAGAAGAAGGCCCAAAGAAACAGTCTCGCAATGTGGGGAACACGTTGGCCTCGGAGAAGCCAAAGGAGATGGCAAAGGCACTTGCATGAATAGGTGCACCTGACAGCCTGAACAGCCTTCAACATTAGCAGGGGAACGCATGACAGAGGCTTTACGATGCGCCGAGGAATGCGGCACCTGC